TATTTTCTGTCTTTATGAATTGGGCTACTCTAGGTACTTCTTAGAAGTAGAGTCATAAAGTATTTGTGTCTGGCTTGTTTCATTTAGTACAATGTCCTGAAGGTTCATTCCTTTTATAGCGCATGACAGGATTTCCTGTGTGTGTGTGTCTGTGTCTGTGTGTGTATCTGTGTGTGTGTTGTGTGTGTGTGTTAGCAGGACTATGGATTGAACCCAGGGTCTTTATCCTGAGTTATCTCCCCAGCCCTTTTTATTTTTTATTTAGAGTCAAGGTTTTGCTGAGTCGCCCAAGCTGGGCTTGAAGTTGTGATCTCCTGCCTTGGTCTCCCAGAGTGAAGGGATCACAGTCATGTGCCATGTTTCCTCTTTAAGGCCGAACAGTACGGTTCCACTGTATGCGTAAACCATGGTTTGCTTACCTATTCTCATTAGACTCTTGGGTGTTACCAGGTTTTGGCTATTGTGAATAATAGTTGGATTTAAATTTGGAATTTGACTGAGAAAAGTCTTGCTTTTTTTGTAGGCATGCAAATATATACACTGATGTTGCTGTTTTGTTTTTGTTTTCCTGCAGAGGACTTTGTGCAGGTGAGGTGCAGTGGACTTGGGTTGGTTAGATGAACGGGACTAGGGTCTGAGAGCTGCACAGGGTGTGGTCCTAGGATCACTTTCCTGACAGCTGTTCTCACAGCCAGTGATCAAGAGGGAGGTCTTGGCTATCCTGGAAGGAAGTAGAGAGCCAGCCCTTGGCCCTCGTAGCTGCCCCTAGGCGTCTCTGCTTCCTCCCCTACGCCACCAAACCTGTTCTTAGAGAAGGGTTTTGTATCTAGCAGAACAAGTACTGCCTGACCCTAAACCAATTTGTTTTCTCCCAGGGATATTTGCATTTTAAATTACATCTCTGGAAGGGACTAAATGTTGACCTTGATCACTGTCAGATGGTGTCCAGTGCTGGAGGACACTGAGAGGAACTGTGTTGGGAGAAAGAGGTGTGGGGAAGTCTTCCCTCCACACCACGACGTCCGACCGCCAGGGTTGAGGAAGAAGAGCGTGTTGGTGCTTTGGGAGCCCCTGCTGTCCCATGAGGAGTCTGCAGCTAGGAGCTGTGCCCTCTGCTTTCCCTTCCTAGAGCTCCTTTGCTAGAAAGAATCAGGCCCTGGGTCTGTGGGGAGCCTCTCATGTTCTAGGCCTGGCTGAGATGGGGCAGTTGAGGGTATGCCTTTCTTGTCTTTGGGAATTCTGCAGATTTCAGCACTGAGGCTGTGTCCCTTACGAGGTTTGAGTGATCTATCTGGGGACATCTCAGGAGTCTGCATGCACAAGTATGGAGGATTTCTTTTCTTCCTTTCTTTCCTATCTCTCTCTCTTTCTTTTTTCCCTGCCTCCCTTCCTCCTTCCCTCCCTCATTTTGGATACTGGGGCTTGAACCCTGGGCCTTCACCCATAACTACATTCCCTGTCTTTAAAAAAAAAATTATATATATATATATCTTCAAGGCAGGACCTGCTAAGTCTCTAAATTGCTCAGACTGAGCTTGAAGTTGAATTGCTCAGACTGAGCTCTTGCCTGAGGCTTCCAGAATGCTGAGATCATGTGGGGTCCTATGGAGAATTTTAGGGAACAGCTTCTGTAAAACTCTGAACACCAATGTAGCTTTCTGAAGGTGAGAATAACCTCCCCAACTTTCCTCCAGCTGCTCAACCCTTGTGTCCAGAGGCTTGTACAATTCCAGGAAGCCTTGCATAGCAATGGTGACAGGGGCTGTGTTTTCTGTGCCTCACCATGGTGGAAAAGAGAGAGAAGGTTGGCTGAGTGGGCAGGTCCTGGCAGGGTCTGCAGGGGATTTTGCAAAGGATCCCTTCTTTTCCAATACCTACTAATGAAGACAGAGTTTGTAATATGGCTATAACAAATCCAGCCAGCCAGTCAGTCAGCAAACATGAAGTATTTATTGTGCACTTGGCATAGAAGGGAGGAAGGTCTATGTTTTCTGCGAGCCCACAGTCATTGAGGAGAAGGGGAGAGAGCGGACAGTGAGTGTCAGAGTGCAGAAGACTATTTCCCTGAGATGGCCATGGTAACTACTCTAAAATATCATTTATTAGTAGGAAGTTTGGGGCACAAACAGATGAAGAGACAACTGCTGTTGAGAAGACAGGGTACTACTTACAGAACCAAGGGAGAGGCCCATGGGAATCGCCCAGGCAAACCCCTGGATCAATCAGGAGTAGCAGAAGTTGGGATGCTCCTGTATGGCTCTCCAGATGTGCAGGGCAGGGCGAGCAGGCAGGCCTCCCTGGGGCTGGCAGGAGGAAGGTTGCCGAGCTTAGGGCCCCGGGGAGGGGCCGAGCTGCTTGGCGTAGGCCTGCAGGACCATGGCTGGACTGTGGTAGAGCAAAACTGGAGGTAGCTGGGGTGTGGGCCCTGGGTTGGTTGGTTTGTATTTGTCTTTCTTCTGCTTTTTGAGACAGGGTCTCACTATGTAGTTCAGGCTGGCCTCGAACTCGAGGTTTGGGGATAGATCCAGTGCCATGGGCATACTGTCATGTGTTCTTCATAGAGCTGCTGTCCTGGCCAGAATCACTGTTCCCAGTCTTAGTCTTGGATGGTTTGTGACCTATAGTAGCCAACCAGGACACAAGATGATAAGATGACACTGGCAGAGATTGGGGGCAACGCAGGATGTCTGGGGTGTAGCTGGGGAGGATGGAGGGGAGGGATATGCCTGGAGACAGATCATAAAGTAATTCCAGAGATTACAAAAGCTCTATTTCGAGAGCTTACTTTAGGTCCAGGCCATGTTTCTAGCACTTTGTGTTGACTCGTTGGATTACTGCAAGGACCCCATGCTGTTAGTTTTGCCCTACTTAGATGAAACCAAGCTCTGGAGGCTGGGAACTCAGGAATGCAGGCAGGGTAGAGCTCAGGACTGGGATTTGGGGGTGAAGTGCAGTGGCAGAGCACTTGTTTACTGTGTGTGAGCCCTAGGCTCCATCCCTAGTGCCACAAAAGGAAAAAAAATTGTGCCTAGAAGTCAGGCTGCCTGACTGAAATCTCAGGATTTTCCCCCCAGGGCTCTGATAGAATCCAGGGCCTTGTACATAGTACATGCTGAGCAAGTACATTCCCGGTTCCTGCCAAGGTACACCCTGAGTCCTAGGTGCATAACTTTGTGTGTGTGGGATTGTGTGAGGGGTGATTAAAACAGGGTCTCTTTGTGTAATTCAGCCTGGACCTGAATTCCCTATGTAGCTCTGGCTTCTTGAATTTGGGGGAATCCTCCTGCCTCAGCCTCTTGAGTGTTGGGATTACAGATGTGTACAACCACGCCCAGCGCTTCCTGTGTACATGCTTTTATTATTTATCTAATTTAGATGCATGCTTTTAATGACTAAATTATGTTGGTGTATTAATGTAACAGCCTCTTTATCGCAGAAATAACAGGATTGTTCATTCACCCATTCAACAACTGTTTACTGACGGCCTTCTTTTTGCTGAACAATGATAAGTGAGTTGAATTTGAAGGAGGAAGAAGGTTTACAACATATATGCACATGAGAAGCCAGGCATGGTGGCAGGGGAGGCTGAGGCAGGAGGATTGCAAGTTTGAGCACCATCTGGGTACTTCAATGACAGTGAAAACCTCTCTCTCTCTTAAATACATACATACATACATACATACATACATACACACATACATAAAAAGAAATAGGGATGTAGCTCAATGTCAAGGCCCCCAGTGTCAATCCCCTGTACCACCACTACTGCCACCAAAAAAGTTATGTGTAATACTAATTAATGTTCTCAGAAAGCAAGAAGGATATGAGAAAACCCGGCCTATTTTATTTTAAAAGCAATGGGATTCACAGGAAGTTGTAAAAAAGCCAAGAAACAGGTCCTGTGCACCTGTTAGCTCTCTTCTTTCGGTGTGTGCTAGTGTTTCACACAGTTGTCCCATGGTATCGACACCATGGAAAGTGACCTCAGTGCCATGGCTGAGCCTCATTCACCCCCCTCTAGTGACCCCTGCACTCTGGGCGAGGCTGTACGTGTAGTCTTAGTCCCTTCCTGTCCCCACCATCATGGCCACGACGCAAGCCTGGCACCGTCAGTGTGGCTGCAGCATAGATAGCGGTGGTGTCCAGGAAGATGCGCGGGAAGGGGCACAAGCAGAGGCTGAATGCTGGAGGATGGGTGCTCTCCCACTGGGGGCGTCAATTTCCTCCTGCAGGTTCCATGAGCTTAACGTGGAAAGTTTTTTTGGGAGAGGAAATGGAGTGCTTCACATTCACCCTGAGGTTTAAGGACTTCTGCAGGCTCTTTCCTAAGTATCAGAAGGGGTTTGTGCGTAGATGTGGGTGGGGTGCAGGTGACAGCCACCTTGACTATGGGTGGCCCTGTGGCAGCCTCTCTTGCCCTCTATTTGGCAACTCTCCCTGGAGCCGTCCTCTGATTATCAGCCCCTCACCACTGCTACTTCCTTCCCTCCGCCCACCCTCTGGCCCATCTGACACTTTGGAACAATAGCAAAGGATTATCGCTTTGGGTTTATAGCACCTGGAATGAAATATGGAGTGCACCTTTATAGTTTGTCTAATTTTCTTCCTGTCGCCAAAACAAAGTGTTAGGAAAGGTAAGTCATTTTGTAGTTGCCACAGCTACTACTGAATACAGATTGGAAAGATGATTTGCTGGAATAAAGTGATCAGATAAAGCTCATGAATTTGTCTCTTAAAAAAATGTGTTGCAAAACGGGAGGGCTGCTGGCTGGTCCTTTGCAGGCGTAGGGTCTGGAGACCTCAGCTTCATTGGGAAGTTTCATTGGCTTGAGACTGTGGATTTAAGAGAACCAAGGAATAATAAGAATTATGTGTGGGGATGTTGCTTAGTGGTAGAGTGATTGCTTAGTACGTACAAGGCCCTGGGTTTGATCTGCAGCACTCAGAAAAAAAAAAAATTACAGGGCCTTTGCATCTGATAAACCCCTCTCCTTTTTCAGGATCTCATTTAATCTGCACAGACAACACAGAGGTGTGTCGGGGAGGGCAGGCACTATATCTTCTCCAATCCATAAATGAGAGGATGAGAGATGAACCTGCAGCTGATAAAGGAGAAGCCAGGCACCTGTCAACTGCTGAGCCACACGATGACCTGTGATTTTGGTGGATGCATTTGATTATACGGGGTCGAACTGATTTTCAGGTGAAAGATGGTTGCCATTTGTTTTGTGGTCATTTTGTGCCGGGGACCCCTTTTTTATGAGGTGGCCTAATTTTGTTTTCTCCTTTAATCCAAGATTTGAGAGCACTTAAACCAGCATTAAGGAAACAACCGTTCTCTAGGGCTGGCTTTTAATCCAACAAGACATGGTTGCAGTGGTTTTCAGTAGCCTGGGGATTGAACTCACAACCTCATGCTTGCCAGGAAGGCACTGTGCCACTGAATCATATCCCTGGCTCCAGGGGCTTCTCTTTTTTTTTTTTTAATTTTTTTTTTTTTTTGTCTTTTTCCTTTTTATTGGTACCGGGGATCAAACTCACGACTGCCTGCTTGCAAGGCAGGTGCTTATGCCGCTGAGCTAAACCTCCAGCCCCAAGGGGCTTCTCTTTTTTGTGCAGCATCTTGTGTGATCCGAGGAGAGAGCTCTGTTTTGTTTTGCTTTGTTTCTCTTATTTCATTTTGTTTTGTTTTATTTTGAGACAAGATCTCCATATGTAGCCCAGGCTGGACTCAAATTTGCAGTGATCCCCCTGCCTCAGCCTCCCATATGCTAGGATTAGAGGTTTGTTCCACAGCTCTGTTTTTTTTCCCACTGTATCTATTATACATTTTGCTCCTTATTAGACTTTTGGTTTCTCACACACCAAAGAAACAATGCGTTATTTACGTATGCATCTTTATTTATTTATTTTTTTTAGTCTTTTTCCTTTTTATCGGTACCAGGGATCGAACTCACGACTGCCTGCTTGCAAGGCAGGTGCTTATGCTGCTGAGCTAAATCCCCAGCCCTGGTGCTCTGTTCTTAATGCTGTGTATTCACTTGGGCCCAGTGGCAAGGTCTAAGTAAGCCATTGCCTGCACCCTGCGGGTTTTAGGTCCGCACGCTTCCGCAGTCCAGCGTAGACATGGAGTCTGTGCTGCAGCAGCTTCTCAGGTGTGGTGGGCACAGCCCTCACAGTGCCCAGGTCCCCTGGCTCCTGAGCTGTCTTCACTGGGTGTCTCTGAGAAGGCTCCAGGCTGCCCTACGACACCACCAGCAAGCCCATCCCCACCCTGAGATGCTCTGCCTCATCCTCCTTGAATGCCAAAGCCCTGGGATGGCTGAGCGGTACACTGCGAGTGGAGGTGGTGGAGGCAGATGTCTGCTGTCTCCACTCTGTGTCCCACTGCAGGTGCCTGGGCTGCAGCTGCTTTCTCAAGACTTGAGTGCAAAGTTCTCTCTGCTCCTTATAGAGCTCCTGGTCTTCTTGGGCCACAGGTAGGCGGGTCAGATTCCTGAGTGACCACAGCGCCCCCAAGGTATTCTGATCAGCCCTTCTGGATGGACAGCTGTGGCCTGCTCACTGGGTGAAGTTCAAGGCTTTTGCACTGGGTAGATTCTTGCCAAGAGTAACCGATAAGGGGACTGTCAGTTACTTACTACCCCTAGCCGGCACTTGCATACTAAAATGTGAGTGACTGATAAAAAGCATTTCGCTATTGTTGATTATCACCACTGTGCCAGCCATGATGCCAGGAGCTCTACTTATGTTATTTCCTCCTGATCCCCACAGCAGCTCTGACGGGGCACAGTTTAACAGCTCATGGGATCAGAGGTCAGTGAAAAGCAGGGAGCAGATACTGCCCGGCGTAAGTGATTCTCTTACTGTGTGTTGGTTCTTCATCTCTGAAATAAAACAGTTAGACCAAATAGTCCTAAATCCTTTCTGACTCTTAAAATTCAGATCTGTCACCTTTCTTAGGAATATGTATTTGCAACCCAACAAAAGTCAACACTCAGTGACCCCAAAGATGGTGTACTAATGATGGGAACGTGTGTATATCTCTCGATTTCTGGGCCAGTAATCTAAGCAGGGATTTGTTTAAAATTGTCACTTAATGTTATTATTTCCTGGTGTGAAGGATGACTACAGGCTCTTGTGCATGCTAGGCAAGTGCTCTCTCTGGTTTATCCCCAGCCCTAGGATATTTTTAAAATATAACTTTAGAAAAAAAAAAAAAAAAAAAACAACAACCCCATCTGGGGCTGGGGTTTTAGCTCAGCGGCATAAAACGCCTGCCTTGCAAGCAGGCAGTCGTGAGTTCGATCCCTGGTACCGATAAAAAGGAAAAAGACAAAAAAAAAAAAAAAAAAAAAACAAAACTTTAGCAGTAGACTCTTCAGACTAGCTTAGAGAATAAGGGAGGCTCACTGGCTGAACTCCAGGAGGCCCAGAGCTGACTACAGGCTTCAGACAGGGCTCTGTAGGTCTACAATTTTCAGGTTTTGCCCCTGATCTTCACCTTTGTTCTCAGGCTAACTTTCTTTGTGTGCAACACAGCACCGTAGCACCAGGGTCCCCTCCACCAAGGGGCAGAAAGCTCCACTGTCAGTCATCACACGGCTTTCCTTCCACACCGATTAGCTCATTGCTGAACATCCATAAGCAAATCCTGATAGTTATTTGGCTTGGCCTAAATTGTCAGCCATGCTTAAACCAATCACCGTGGCAGAGGAGATGGCATTATATGAGTTGATATGTGCAAGCAGGGCCTGCCTCTTGGAGCTGGAGTAGACAGAGTCCTACTCAAGGCTATGTGCAGGATGGCATCCTGGGAGGCAGGCTAGCTGGAAGACAGTGATACTCTGCCCCAGACCTCCTCTGTTTTATGCCTGATAGTGGGGCCGCTGGAAGAGTGTAAGATCGATGGGAACCCCACGGACCCAGGACAGCAGCCTGGCATACAGATGCATACCCACTTTTGGAGGGTGAAGCAATCGGTGAGGCCAGTAACATGGATGCGTCTAAAGCAGTAGTGAGGAGACGGCATTTGGAGCCTGGAGAACTCCACCAATAGAAGACCAGTCCCAGCGCCCACATCCAGAGGCCAAGATGGGCTCCATATCCAGCACATCTCTGGGATGTAACAGGGACACTATCACAGAACTGCAAATACCAGAAGAAAGTAGGTTCTTGCTATAGCTCTAAAGAATCAACCACATCTGGAGGACACCCCTGAGGGAAGGACATCTTTCCTCGTTGAGAGAGGCCTCAATGCTAGTGGTAGAGTTATGTATCATGGAAGGTTGGTGGGTGTCAACACTGGAGACAAAACATTAGAAAAAAGAGAAGATGGAGAATTGCAACACACAGAGGTGGGTGCGACCCCAGATCCCCAGCCCACCCAGGGCAGGCCTGGAACTCAACATGATGAATGAAGTTTGAAGTCAAACACTGGAACTTCCTGAAATGGTAACAATAGAGGTAAAAAAAAAACAAGTGGAAAAGACTATAGAGAGAATGATCTCTCAGATACAAAAAGATATGATGCTTAAAGAAGACACAAATAATAGATGAGCTTAGAAAAAGATAGAAATAAAAAATGCCCAACATAGGAATCCATGAAACAGATCCAAACAGAGATCCAGGAGATTAAAACCTCCATTGCAAGTGTATGCAACAGATTGAATGAAAGAAAGGATAGAACTTCAGATCCTGAAGACAGAATTGCAGCTAATGATCATGAAAATAAAGATATCTTTTTTTTCCCCCTTTGTACTGGTAATTGAACTCAGGACTGCACTTGCCAGGCATCTATATCCCCTGCCTGAAGAATGGTATCTTTAAAATAGCAAGAAACCATGAGAAGTCAATGCAACAGCTACAAGATAAAGTGAAGAATAACACAAGATTGACTGGGTCAATGAGAAAGCTAGAGACAGCACAAATGTCATAACAATCATAAATACATATGCACCTACTACAGGAGCACCTAACTGTATAAGGACAGTTATTTGTAGATATAGAATCAAATAAGCAATAACAGTTGTTATGGGAGACCTTAGTACGCCATGGTCACAGAGAGACAGATCAACTAGACAGAAAACCAGCAAAGAAATACCAGAGCTGAACCAAACCTGCAAACAAATGGACTTAATAGGAAGAAGCCACACCCCAAGGCCCTGCACGTGGAGAGATCCAGTGAGCCCAGCACAGGCCCAGAGAAGAAGACACGTCTCGAAGCCCCACTCAGATTGGGGCAGCATTGGTGAACCATTGCCTCCTGCCTCCTCATCACTGCAGGAACCCCAGATCAGAGGAATCCTGTATCTAGTCCAATCCACTGTAACAGGGGACTGGCAGTCAGTACAGGAATCACCCGGCATGTAGCAGTGGGCTGATTCAGAGGAATGTGGGAAAATGTCAAGATGAAGGAGCAAAACAGAGTCTCCGACCTCAGCCCACCCAGGACAAGTTCAGGAGACACAGACATAGTAGAAATTAGAAGTCAAATACCTGAGATTTCTAAAAGATAGCAACTGAAGTAAAGAAGCAACTTTGTTTTTGTATTGTTTGGTTAATTTTACGTGCTTATGTCTGAGGGTCTGCACAGCTGTTTTGAAGATAACAAGAGGCATTGTGGTAACCATTGTTAATTTCCTGTTATCATATTTTGAAGTCCTGTATCGTTTTCTTTGTTTTGTTTGGTTTTATTCTATTTTGTTTTGTTTGATTGTATTAGGGATGATGGTATGGGCAGATATTGTGAACACAGTGATGCCTTGTGGTAGCCGTTGTTGGTTTCCTGTTATCTTATTTCAAAGTTCTGTATCACTTTCAATGTTTTGTTTTGATTGGCTTTATTCTGTTTGGCTTTATTCTCTTTAAACAAAAGACTATATGTAGAACTTCTCAGTAGTGTGTTGGTCGGGTGAGAATAGGTTATACTGTAGTACAAACAAGTCCAGTGTCTCAGTGGTTCAAACAGTAAATGGGTGCTTCTTTTTGGAGACAAGCTCTTGCTGTGTAGTTCAGGCTAGTTTTGAACACACTGCATAGCCTAGCTAGCCTCAAATTCATGGTGATCCTCCTGCCTCAGCTTCTCGAGTACAGGAATTACAGGCGTGTACCACCATGGCTGGTCTTGCTCATGTTTGATGTGGGCCAACAGGAAAGTTCAGCTCATGAATATCACTCCTGGGATGAGGCTGAAGGCGGCTGTATCTCATTATGTGCCTCGCTAGTCCCCTGGCAGGAAAGAGGGCAGGAGAGGACAGCGCCAGCAGTTAAATGTTCCCGCCTGGAAGACACACAGCGCTCTGCCCTCATTGCACTGGTAAAAGCGAGGCCCGATGGCTGTGCTCCACTTGAGAAAATGCAAACTTCTGGGGTAAACTTCTCCTCTCTGTCTGTTGCTCTCTTCAGGCCTTGAATAGACTGGATGAGGCTCAGCCACGTTGGGGAAGGCGGCTCATGTCACTCAGCCCACTGATGCAAGTGCTAATCTTATCCAGACACACCCTGAAGTAATATTTAATCCAGACCCCCTGTGCTGCAGTCAAATTGAAACTTAGAATTAACCATCAAGGTACAAAGCCTTGAGCAACATCCCGATCATTGGACTTCCAGGAAGGAGTATTTGCCACTGCACCTTGTCCTGGTCCACCTGCACCCCTTTTGCAGTTCAGGAAAGGGCTGGGGTGTAGCTCAGAGGTACAATGACTGCCTGTCTCTCGGGCATGAGGCCCTGGGTCCCACCTCCCGTACAGAAAAATCCCAAATCATATTACCAGAATCTTTTTCTGTTGTTTTCAAGAGAGCGTCTTGCCATGTAGTTGAGGGTAGCTTGAACTCATTGTGCAGCCCGGATACTCCTGCCCCAGCTCCTGAGTGCTGGAGTCCAGGCAGGCACCACCTTGCCTGGCTATCACATGGGCAGAATCTCAGCGAGAGTGAAGCATGTATAAAGCTGAAGACCATTGGCACCAGGGTAAAATAAAAACACAAGTGAAAGATAGGGGCATTTTTTCCCAAAAGATTATTTGAGAGATCATAATCATTTCTGTCTTCTGTCTATATTTTGGGATAGGTGAAGGACAGAATGATGGTCAGTGATTGCCTTCTCAGAGATTGACAGGGTGGATATAAATTAGTTCCTACATAGGGGAGAGTAAAAGGGTAGCTAAGAAAGAGTGAAAATAACTCTTTAAAAATAACTCTTAAGGGGCTGGGGATTTAGCTCAGCGGCATAAGCACCTGCCTTGCAAGCAGGCAGTCGTGAGTTCGATCCCCAGTACCGATAAAAAGAAAAAAAAAAAAAAAAAAAAGAAAGAAAAAGAAAAAAAACCTCTTAAATAGCACACAATAATTACAAAGACATGGTCTAATAAAAAGTACAGTGAATGTTTAACCGATTTATGGCTGGGTGTGATGACACATGCCTGTAATCCCAGCACTAGGGAGGCTGAGACAGGAGGATTGCAGTGAGTTCAAGGCCAGCCTGAACTATATAGCAAGAACTTGTCTCAAAAAATTTTTTGTTATTACAGTGAAACACACTTGCCATTAGTCCCTCTTAAATCCTCCCCCTTGCTTGACTTTGTCCTTGACGCTTTCCTAAAGCAGTTCTAGAAGTTCTCTTTTGTGAGTGTCCTTAGTTGTGCTGCCATCATGGCTACACTGATGTCCTGAATCCATTCAAAACAGTTTTGATGGCCATTTTGACTTTGGGGAAGAGCCAGGAGTCTCACAGGACCAGAGCTGAGAGGAGGGGAGACACTGTGGTGATTTACAAGCCTGCCTTGCTGCTGGTAAATCAGTTGGCAGCAGCTTTCACCATTGTTTTGATCACACCTTTCTTGAGTGTGAAGCCACTCATGAAAGAGGATTTCCAGAACTGCTTCAGAAAGTGACAAGGACGGGTGGGGGTGTGGGGGGGGGTGTGGGGGGGTGGGGAGTGTGAAGGAAGTAAGAGGGAGAATGGCAAAGGAGATTAATGTGTTTTTCATTGTAAAAACTTTTTTTTTTTTTTGGTCTTTTTTGAGATGGGGTCTTGCTATGCTGGCCTTGAGCTCACTTTGTAGCCCAGGCTGGTCTTGAACTTGCAACAATCCTCCTACCTCAGCTTCCCTAGTGCTGGGATTATAGGCATGAGCCACCACGCCGGGCTCTGTAATAACTTTTTAAAATTAAAAACTTTAAAATTTTAATCTTCACCACGTATTTCCATCACACCTCATATACCATGTACTTTATGTAGATTGTTTTATTAAACCATATAATGACCCTGCATGATAAGTATTATTAATTTACTGGCTTTTTTGAAACAGGGCCTCATGTATAGTTCAGGCTGGCCTTGAGCTCACTGTGTAGCCTAGGCCGGCCTTGAATTTGTGGCAATCTTCCTGCCTCAGCCTCCTGAGTGCAGAGATGACAGTATGTGTAACTTGGTTCTTTACTTATTTTTAAATTTTTCTTTGTTGCGGTATTGGAGACTGAATTAAGGGCCTGATACATGCTAAGCAAGTGCTTTCCTGTGTGAAGCTATATTCCCAGTCTTTTTATTTTTCTTTTGAACACAAGATCTCACTAACTTGCCCAAGCTGGCCTTGAACTTGCAGTCCTCCTCCCTGTGCCTTCCGGGTAGCTGAGGTGACAGGCAAGTACCACTGTGCTTGACTCCTAATTTTTAAATTTATTTTATTATTTTTGGTGCTGGAAATTGAAGCTAGGTCCTCATGCATGTGAAGCACTTAATCTATCACAGAGCTGCACTCTTGGCCCTTATTTCTTTTTTATTTATTTTGTTTCTTTTTTTTTTTTGGAGACAGGATCCCACTATGTAGTTCAGGCTGGCCTTGAACTCACTCTGTAGCCCTCAAACTGCGACAATCCTCCTGCCTTAGCCTCCTGAGTGCTGGGATCACAGGCATGTGCCCACCAGGCCCAGCTAGCTCCCCATTCCTTTAGAGAAGATATTCTTACCTCCTCATGGCACTGCCCAATGTGTAATCCCTGTCTTGGCTCCAAGCTTGTAGATCACATACCAGGGCTGAAAGCCTTGCCAAAGGAGGCCAGCTTTTCTGAGCTGTCCACAGCCCTTCCTGCCCTGGCCCCAGGGCTGCAGGTAGGCACCATGCTTTGCCAGAGACACCACACCCCACACCATGGATAATGCAGGGAGAGGGCCCATCTCCGAGGAGCTGCAAGCTGTGTGAGCATCATCTAATTAGCCCATGAACATCCCAGGGAGGTGAGCGGAAGCTCTGCTTCAGCAAAGCCACAGGGGACAAGCACAGCACTGAGGGACAGAGGTATTTTGAGGGCTCTCCGCAGGTAAAGGTACAGCGCCTAGCTGGAGGTGGGAGGTGGAGTGCTGCCAGCAAGTGACAAGACGATTGTACCAGTGACTGGTGATGACATCTGGCCGGCAAGGATGGATGTGCACAGGTCATCGCCAGCACGTGACACACTTGTGAAGTCAATTCAAGAATGGCAAGGGTTGAGATGAGCTGTGAGACCACCTCTGTCTGGTCAGGGTCTAGGGTGGAATAAGATTGAAATTTGCTACCTATGTATGTTCAGGCGAGGGCTTTTTGAAGCATGCATTTCCTGAACTATAAAAACTGGGAAAGCATCACACCTGTAATCCCAGTGTTACGGCCAAATGAGTTAGAAATATGATAGGCAGTCAGATAGGGCTGGGCCCTGGAAAAAAATCAGTGCAGAAGACCAACTGTGGAGGAGACAGACACCTCCTGCTGTGGGCCAGATTTCAAGGCAAAAGATCAAACAAATGCACCCTAAGGATATAACATCAGGGATTGATATTCTAAACAGCTCTCTATCACCCTGAGGAAGCCAGGAGTCACTAACCCAAACCTCTCCAGCCAAAGGCCCTGTTCTATATTCACACTTGCTTACTATGTGACTCGCTTCCCCGTTTGTCCCTGATTTAATCAGTTTTACCTGAGCAGTTACACTCGAAATCTTATTGGTTGGCCATAGTTCTGTCCCACCTCATGCCCACCTTGCAAGTTCCCATTTTTCCCCAACTTGGACCTGCCTCACCTTATGGTTTTTTTCTATAAAAACCTCTGAGAAAAAAGAGTCTTTGGCAACCTACATAGTACCCCTTCTGTCTCTCTGAGACAGACACTTTCCTTCAATAAGTATATTCTACTCTTATTTCTTCCAATAAATATATTCTACTGTTGTTTCTAAAATGCATTCTTTAATTTCAGAGAACATGAACTTGTACTGGACATCTAGTAGATTGGGAGTTTCATTCCCCTATAGCACCAGCACTTGGGAGACTGAGACAGGAGGATCTCTGCCAGTTCAAGCCCAGCCTGGGCTGCACAGAGAGTTCAAGGCCAGCCTGAACATCATAGTGAGACCCTGTTTCAAAAAAGAGAAACAGGAAGTGTGGCACAGAGCAGTTCTTTTCAGACCAGTCCATGGCAAGCTGTGGGAGCCCACAGGAGAAACCTGTGAGCTGAGTCCCAGGCTGATTTCCTTTCTGGGGGTCGTTTCCAACCAAGGGGACCATGTTAGCCTCCCTAACTTATCTGGCTAGGATCTCTGTGATAGCTGTGCTGGCTGCCAGCTCTGTTTCCTGAGCAGGTAGGGGATTGACCTTCCCAGTTAATCCTTTCTCTGGTGTACAGGTTTGGGGAGTGCCTCAGGCAGTTTTGTACCAAAGGAGCGGGTCATCAGGGGACTAATCCAGGAGTGTCTCATGTGGATTAGTGGCTGTGACACTTCCCCTAGAGGCTTTAATTCTTGAACCTCTGTCCCTGTTCTCAAGCTGTGGCTGCTAGGTAGTTGTGGACAGGCAGCTGTCACTCAAAAGATAACTGAGGGCTGCTATGCACTGAGCGTTTATGGTCCTGCCCCTTCCTGGTAAAGGCCTAACTACCAAAGTGATGGGATTTGCAGAAATTAGATTTAGATGAGGTCATGAAGGAGGGATCCTCTTCATAGGGTATGTCCTTTTTTAAGGAGACCCCAGGGAGCTCACTGTATTACATGTGGACATAGTGAGAAGGTGACCTTTTGCAAGTCATGAAGAGAGCCTACACTAGACACTAACTGCCCTGCTTGATTTTGAGCTTTCTAGGCTGCATGACTGTGAGAAGATGGATTTCTGTTGTGTCAGCCACCTGGTTTGGTTCTGATTGAGTATCCCTAATCCCAAAACATCAAATCTGAAATGTTCCCAAATGTGAAAGTCTTTAATCACCAACACGATGCCACAAGCACACAGTTCCACACCATGACACTTTGTTTCATGCACTAACATGAAAAATGCCATAAAGAATCACATGCATCCTGTGGTAACAAGGTATATGTGAAATGTAAATGAGCTTTGTGTTTATATTTGGGTGCCCTTCCCCAAGTATTTTGTTATATATAGGCAAATATTCTAAAATAGGAAAAATTCTGAAACGTTGAACACTTGTGGCTGCAAGCCTTGTGAAACTTATATATAAATCAGGCTTCTTTTCCCCCTTGTGCACTCAAGACAAGTGTACCATTGAGCCACACCCTCAGACCCGAAAGCACTCTGGCTAAAACTCACTCAACCTGAATTTTGTTCTGGAAGCCCAACCTGACATAACAAAGTCCTACCTCTGGTGGCTCATAAAGTGACTTTATTTGAATATGGAGTTGTTGCCAATGTGATTTGTTAAGATGAGGTCATACTGAGTAGGGTGGGCTCCTAATCCAATATGGCTGTGATCTTGTAAGAAGAGAAGGGACAGGGAGAGAGACAAGTACAGAGGGACATGTGAGGCCATGGGAAATGGGCCATGTGGTGACAGGAAGGGGCCAGAGTGATGCATCCCCCAGCCAAAGGTCTGAAGCACTGCTGCCAACACCAGAGCTTAGCAGACATGGGCTGCGGGTGGAGCACAGTGGGAAAGCGCTTGCCTAGCGTGTGCCGGGGCCTGGGTTTGATCCCCAGCACAGGATGGCAAACAGACCAACAAATCAACACTGCATGACTGAGTCTCCCCCAGTGCCTTCAGAGTGAGCAGAGTCCTGCCAACACCTTGATTTTCCGCTTCTAGTCTTCAGGATTGCACAAGGACAGGTTCCTGTTGTTTTAAAGTGTCTGGTTTGGGGACTTTGTTACAGAAGCCTGTCGGGTCTCAGGGTTCTTGATTGTCTTTTCGGGCCGAGGCACCCTCGCCACTGAGGAGAAAGCCAGCTTGGCGCTCTCAGGAAATTTGTGCACTTGAGCTCCCAAGTTCTTTCATTGAGACCAGGCCTGCTGCTGCCAAGTTCACACACAGAAATGTCCAGAGATGGAGGCTTCCCAGGTAGCGGGAAAGCCAAGCCACTTTCCTGGTTAGGGAAAAGACAAGCGTTTCTGTATTAAAAATCACAAGTCCTAGTTTCTCCTTTGTGAATCATCAGGTGACATTTTTATTAGAGGACACTCGGGCTCATCAAGAGGTTGGTCCTATAAATTATCAGAGGGTTTAAGTGCAGGTTGGTCAAAAACTCCACACATTGTGATCCGGGAAGTGCTGGCACTGAAACATCTTTGTTGTCCCCGTCCGTTGCCCACTGGCTCTGGGGAGGGAGAGGTAGACACTTAGAGATCCACTAGTGTCACCTGCCCCCCCTCCCCCCAGTAATTCCCGATCATACGGCCTAAGATCGGTAACTTTGAGGTGTATAAATTTTGGCTTCTGTGAGTCATACGTATGAACAAGCCCAGTGAAATATATCACGTTGCCCAAGCCAGTTGTACCCTGTTATTTAAACCAGTAATTAAGAGTCTTAAAGTTGGCTTTTCTGCAGCCGCCTAACCACCAGCGTTCCCTTCCTGGTTCTGGGTGGAGGAGAGGCACCGTTGGGGGATGTTGGCCCCCAACCTGGCACTATCTGAAGTTAGATCG